CCCCCCCCCCCAAATCTGCTGGGGGTCGCGTGGCCAAGCCAAGGCCACCCCCAGGCTCCGGCTGGGAGACATCACCCCATCCTCATGCCCCAGTGGGTGCCATGGGTCCCCCCGTGCCCATATCCTAGGGGGGGTCTGGGAGCACCCTCACCCCACAGGAGCCCCGGGGGAGGGCTTCTCCACCACCCCATCCCCAACCCTGGTGCCTGGAACCAGGGGACCCACCAGGGTGCCATCGTGGCGGGGCTGGTGTCACCCCGGGATGCCAGGTGCAAGCTAAGCTAGGCTAAAAGCAGGGCGGGGGGTACAGGGAATGGATGGATGGACGGACAGACGGACAGAAGCAGCCCCGGCCCCAGGGAGACCAAGGGGGAGCAGATGAGGAAGCAGAGAGAGGGGCCGGGGGCGGGGGGGGCAGCAGTTCACTTACCAAGTAGCTCTACAGGAAGGATGTGGAAGGGAGGGAAGAGAGAAGGAGACAGAGAAAACGTGTGAAAAGAGGCCAAGGGCCGGGGTGTGCCCCCGCCTCCCCACCACCCCCCTTTCTCCGAGGGGGCAGCGGGACCCCCCTGGTGCCCACCAACCCCGGGAGGCAGTCGGGGTGCCCCATCTGGGATGCCCGCCCCGACCGGGGGTGCTGCAGAGGGTCTGGTGGGGGTACCCCCTCAGGAGACTCCCCTCACACCTTTGCGAGCCTTTTTCTGAAGCTTGAGGGTGTCGGAGGATTTTTTCTTGATCTCGTGGCGGGCTCGCTTGTACTCTGGGGGCACAGAAGTGGTGTCAGAGGGGACTCCCCTCGCCAACTGGCACAGCCCCCCAGCACGGATTTGGCCCAGCCTGGCTGTACCTTTCGCGTGGTCCTTGTCGAGCTGGTTGGCAGTTTTCTTCCAGTCCTCAATCCTGTCCTGCAAGGGGTTTATCAGGCTCTCCATGAGGGCGCTGGAGCAGGGAGAGAGAGGCAGAGAGCGTGGGAGAGCGCCGGAGCTGAGGGAGGGAAGCCAGGACCCCCCACCCCAGGCCCAGCTGACATCCAGCATCTCCTTCTTCAGAGGAGGGCTGAGCCCGGCCAACTCGTGTCACCGATGCCCTGGGCACACTTACTTGGTGAACTGCCGGAGCTTGGCCTCGATGCTGCGGTGCCGCATGCACATGCGGGTCAGCGCAGAGCCGATGTCCCTTGTGGCACCTGAGGGGGGAACAAAACGCTGTTGACGAGGGGTTAGGGACACCCCAACACCAATCTCAACCCAGTTTGTATACTGGCACCAGGCTGGCTCATGGCGTGGATGACCAGCACTGGGATGTGCTGGGTTTCAGGGACACTCTGGGTTGGAGTGGCTCGCTTTTTCCCCCCCAGTAAACCCACTAAATAAGTAAATCAACATCCACTAACAAATAAAGCACTAAATATCCCTTCCCAAACCTTTGAAATGAAAACCTGCTCCCCGTTTGTCTTAAACCCAGTGCTGGGGAGGGGCAGGGAAGGGAGGGGGTCAGGTAACACGCAGCCAGCCAGGCATGGACCAAGAAACTGGCTAGTCGGGAGCAAGTGGCTCCAGGAGCGGCTTCCCTCTCTGGCTCAGTGCCAGGCAGCCGGCTGCGTCCCTCACCTCCAGGAATGATCCTGAGTGTATCAAAAGGAAGTCAGAACTCCCTGCAGGGGAGCAAGGGAAGGCAGGAGTGTCCCTTTATGATGAAACTGCTGTTAACTCTGAAGCCTAAGGATGGCCACATGGTGGCAGTGCTGCCGGCAAATCCCAGGAAAAGCAGCAATCCAAAATCCTTGGGTGCAGGCTAGGGAGTGATATTCTGCCCTTCTCTCCCAAAAAAAAGCCCCCAGAAACACCTCCTGCCCTTTGCAGGAGTTTTGGGCACCCCCCAGCTCCACAGTGCTGCAGATATGGGAGAGCCCCTGGGCCAAGGGCCTTCTTCTCCTGTGCCAGGGTATTCTCTTAATCTTGCTCCTAATCCTGGCTCCTGCTGTTTCTAAGCCGATTCCCTGCGTGCTCACGTGCCTCGTGCAAGGCCGCCAGCTGGCCCCCACCCAGTGCCCTGCCTCAGTTTCCCCCCATGCTGCCACTCTGCACCCCCACCCCCCCAGAAGCAGGGATGTCCCCAAGATGCCACTGCCTGGTGCAGGGTGGCCTATGACGCCAACCCCTGTGTGCTGGTCCCCAGCATCCCCCCCATGTCACCTCCTCTGCTTTCAGTGCCTTGGCTGGAGGGGAGCTGGGGGGAGCCCTAATCCTCCCCCCGGTGCACTGGGCCAGTGGGTTTGGAGGCAAAGCTGATCCTGGCTCAAGCTGCTGCCTCCTCCTCCTCATGCAGCTCCAGATGGCCTGGATGCCGCCAGTCTGCAAACCAGCCTGGGACCATCTGCTTGGCAGAAGCCAAGTGGTGGAAAGTGGCTCCTTGCCACCAGTGGGCACCCAGAGCAGGTCCAGGGGTCCGGCCCCTCACCTCAAAGCAGCATGGGAGGGCCCCCACCTGCAGCCCCAGCTCTCTACCTCGCCTCTGCGGTGGGTTGGGGTTTGACCCCGCAGCAGTTGAGCGTGTGCTCCTGCTCCTGCATCTTCTCCCTCCATCGAATCGCCCTTCCCCAGAGCCCCCTGGAGCAGCCAGGGCCCCCCCCAGCACCTCCTGGGTGGCTGCAGGGGACAAGGGGCACGGGGAGGGTGGCTCAGCCCCGTACCTGGGTGCGTCCCGGGGACAGAGATGGAGGCAGGGGACCACATCACCGGGCTGAGTCGCCCCAAATCTCCCCACAAGCAAACTATCCCCACCAGAAGATGCCGGCTGAGCACCCAGGGGTGGTGAGGAGCAGCACCCATGGGGGTGCCCCTCTGCACCCCTCTGCTTCCTGGGGGCTGCTCCACCTCGGGGTGGGGACAGGTTGGACATGGCTCCATGGATGGTGGAGTTGCTGTCTGAAGCCCCCCTCCAGCTGCGTAGGCAGGGGTCACCCCACAGGGGACACTCAGCACCCGGCCCCTGCCTGGCCAAGCCCGGGGACACACACCCCTGGGCCCTACCTCGGGTGTTGGTGGCCATGTCGGCCACTTTCTGGAAGGCATCCAGGAAGGCGACTGCAGCCAGCACCGTGGTCCTGTGGCGGAGAGAGTGACGGGGGAGCTCAGCGGGCACTGGGCACCCCAGGATGTGCCCACAGGGGTCGGTGGAGTGTCCCCTGCCTGCCTCCCCGCAGCCACTCACCTGAGCTGGGAGTGCAGCTTGGTGGCCTTCGAGTTGAAATCCTCCCAGATGGGGTAGGAGCTCTGCAAGGAGGGAAGGGGACAGTGAGAGCTGGAGCCCCTTGTCTCCCTGTATCCCCACCCCAAGCAGGGCAAATCCCCCCTGCATCCTTACAACAGCTGGGTGGCCGTGCATGGCTAGGTGTGGCTTCTCTGATGGCTAATAAAGGCTGAGCAGAGGCATTTTTCCCTTTTCCAGTCTCGCCACACAATCTCACAGACCATGGGGAACTCGGGATTTTGGATGATGTCTTCCTCAAAGGGGTCAAGGCAGCTTATGGGTTTGGAAATTTGAGGGGAAGAAAGGAGCTGGTGCAGAGACAAGCAGAGCCCTCCAGCACCCACAGCCTTCCCCAAAGTAGCCCCTCATGGAGGGCTCCAGCCCTGTGGTGGGTAGCCCAGTCCCCAGCTCTCCCAGGCCTGTGAGGACCAGGGGGGCAGGAGACAAGGTCTGGGGTCCCCCCAGCCCTGAATGAGGCAGTTGTGTGCAGACAGAGACAGGTCACAGGTGCTGGGGAGGCCACCCCAGTGCCGTCCCAGTAAGGCCACCCTGGTGCCATCCTGGCCAGGCCATTCTGATGCCATCCCACCAAGACCAGTCCCAGTGCCCTTGTGGTGAGGTCATCCTAGGGGTGTCCTGGTGCCACCATCTCAGCAAGGCCATCCCAGCACTGTCCCAGTGCCACTGTCCCAATGAGGCCATCTCAGTGCTGTCCCGGTGAGCCCAGTCCCAACAAGACCAGTCCCAACAGTGTCTTGAAGATGCCAGTCCCAGTAAGACCATCCTGGTGCCATCCCAGCGAGGTCAGTCCCAGTAATGCCAGCTCCAGTGCCATCCCAGCAAGGCCAGTTCTGGTGCCATCCCAGCTAATGGCTAATCCTGGTGCCACCATAGAGCGAGGCCATCCCAGTGCCACCATAGAGTGAGGCCAGTCAGGTTGTCCTGGTGAGGTTAATCCTGGTGCCAGCTTGGTGAGGCCGTCCCAGTGCCAGCCTGGCACAGCCAGTTCCAGTGCCACCATCCCAGTGAGGCCATCTTGGTGCCTTCCCAGCAAGGCTGGTCCCATTGCCACCATCCCAGCAAAGTCATCCCAGCGAGGCCAGTCCTGGTGCCACCATCCCAGTAAGGCCATGCTAGTGCTGCCACCCGGGCGAGGCCAGTCCTGGTGCTGTCGTCCTGGCGAGGCCACCCTGGTGCCACCATCTGATGGCAGTGCCGGAGGCTTCCAAACTCCCTTAAGGTGGCCACCAGGTCAGGACATGGGCACAGGCGCTGGCTTTGCAGGACACAGGTCACTGCACATCCCCATAAGCCCAGCTTGGTGGCACCTCTGGGGACAAATTTTGCACTGAGTGGGCACAGGCCCAGCCCAGCAGTGTTTTTTGGGACCATGAAAGCCCCAATTTCCTCACGAGTCAGCAAAGAAGGGGGTTGGGGATGCCACTTCATGTGCCACTTGTGGCAGCACCTTGGCTCAGGGCCATGAGTCCCCAGGGGACTGCCACTGTTGGGGGGCTCAGGGCCACCGTCCCAGGGCCACCTTCCCCATGCCACCTCGGGCAGAGTGAGCAGAGACTCCCCCCAAACAAAGGGGCAGGCTGTGATGCCCCCAGCACCCTGCGGTGCCATGCAGGAGGAGGATGGGGACGAGGACAATGGGGACAAGGACATGCCAAGGTCACCCAGGGATGCCGAGCACGCTGGAAGAGAGGCAACAGGAATGAAGGTGGCTCAGGGGACACTCAGGGACTGCCAGCAGGCTTTGCTGCCCAAGCCCTCCCCAGTGCAGGACGAGGGGTGCCGAAAAGCCTCCCGCCATCACAACAAGGTCCCTTTGTGCCCGTGCTCAGCGCAGGGGGCCCACCCGCAGGACCCTAAGCACATCGCTGCTGTTGAACACCACCAGCTCTTCGGGCAGGGGATTTATTTTTCCTCCTCCCCCAGTGCCAGGACACCCACGTGGTCGGGAGATGGGGACAGGGATGGGGACGATGCACCCTTAAGGGTGAGTGGTTTTGGGCCAGGGCTGTGCAGGGCGTGAGCTGAGTGTGTTGGGGCTTTTTTCTTCTTTTTTTCTCCTCTTTCCCACCTTCAAGTGGCAAGAAAATTAATCCAGCCTGGTTTCCTCGGGCATAGTGGTGCGTGACGCCATGGTGAGGGGCTCCCAGCCCACCCACGTCCCCATGGGGCTGGGCACGCCGCTGCGTGGCCATGCTGGCACCAGCCAGGGAGGGGATGGCTCCGGGGGGCTCATCCCCTCCGCAGCCTCACAGGGGAAACGGGGAAACTGAGGCACGGGCTGCTCCCACCTCCACACCGGCAGCATGGGGCTCAGCAGGGCTGCCAGGAGGGGACGGCCAGGGTGAAGGTGTCTGGGGGGGCTGATCATCCTGCCACCCTTCCCCACCAGCCCAGCCCTCACCACCCTGGGGCCAGTCCCTGAAGAGAACGGGATTTTTTCCCTTGAGGGCTTTTCTCCCAGCCCTGAGCTGGAGTGTCCGTCCCCGCGGAGCCACCACCACCCCTCGAAGGGGTTAATCTCCTTCTTAGCAAGGCTTTTTTTTTTTTTTTTTATCCCCCCTCCCCTGCTTTGGCAATGACAGCATTGTCTGGACAGGGCTGCAGCAAGAGGAAGAGGAGGAGGAGGAAGAAGGCTTTTGCCTCCCCAAAACGACTGGGGCTAAACCCCAACGCTGGAGCTGGCAGTGAGAATTTTGGCCCCCCGAGATGAAGAAATCCAGCTGGTCGCCTCCTCCATTCTCAGCCCCCAGGCAAAAATGCCCCCCAGTCTTTTTTTTCTAAAGGAATATAAACAAAAAAAGGCGGCCTCATCCTGCTCCCAGGAAGGGTGGAGGCGATGTCCCCTCCCCAGGTTGGGAAATAGGATCGAGGAACCAGGGGAACCTTTTTGTTCCATTGGTGCAAACCCAAGCGGGTCCAGCAGAAATCCCAGCTGGGGAACGCAGGGTGGCGGGGGCAAGGCGATGCCCGAAATGGCCAGTGATGCCCGATGTGGGGCCAGCAGCAGCCGACGTGGGGCAGCAATGCCTGGTCTGTGATACCTGACACGGGGCTCCGAGACCCGGGGACGGATACGGGGCTGACAGGGGGCTCCGACACCCGACATGGGGCTCCGATGCCCACGGACGGATGCGGGGCTGCGATCCCCCGCATGGGGTCTGATGCCCAACGCTGGGCCCCGATGCCCAGTACGAGGTTGATGCGGGGCTCTGGCACCCAGTGCCGGGCTCCGAGAGCTGATGTGGGGCCCCGACGCCCCACACGGAGCCCTGATACCCGGGAACGGCTACGGGGCTGCTGTGGGGCGACGATCCCCAGCAGGGGGTCCGATGCCCAACACGGGGCCCCCACGCCCAGTATGGGGCTGGTGTGGGGCTCCGGCACCCCAGTGGCAGGCTCCGACAGCCGACGTGGGGCCCCGACACCCGGCTGATGTGGGGCTGCGATACCCGACACGGGGCCGCGATGCCCGGCTCGGGGCTGGACAGCAGAGCCCCGGTGCCCGCCGCGGGGCACGATGCCGGCCGCTCGGTGCCCGCACGGGGGCTGCCCCGGGGTGTGTGTGTGAGGTGGGGGGGTGTGCGGGGGGGAGCGCTGTCACGACAGCAGAGCGGGGCGGGTGTCCCTACCTTCATGTCGTTGATGATGGCTTGGAAGAGGCCGCCGAGGGCTCCGCACTCCTTCTCCGCCGTCTCCATCGCGGCGCTGCGGCAGCCCGGGG